AATAATAAACATACTTATGTTGCCACAAATCTAGCCATCAATTGTTTAATAATATTGATTTCTTTCTGTATTTCCAAATTTCTACTCAACAGATCTGCTGTCTTAAGGGTTGGATTCAGTAAATCAGTGGATCTCAAGAACTCTATTGTTCTCATGAATTGAATATTTCTGGAATTCAAAGAATCATTCTTTGCTGTCATAACAAATGAATTGAGAGATTGAGTAGAGGCTGAAGTTTGGTCGACATATGAATTGTTTAATTCGGTTTCCATTTCATCTATTATTGGCTGTTGTATTAAATTGTATTCGTTTTCTTCGGCTTTATCTCTGTTGCCATAATTTGAATCATCAATCGATTGGTTAGCATTTTGTTGGACAAACCGATTCTCAATATAAACGGAACGATAGTTGGGATGAGAGGAAGATTGGGACACATCAGTGAACCACAGGTTCGGTGTACTCGATGTCGGAGCCATTGAATGAACGGAATAGTTGTTTGTCTGAACACTTCCGTCTAATGAATCATAAAAACTGATGTCTGTATTGAAGTCGTGTGACTCATAGCTGATATTTCTTCGAAAATCCATTGTAGAGCAGTCTATGTCTTCGACTTTAATCTGCGGAATCGCATTCTTCAGGTTAACCATTGGGTAAGCATTGAATTCACCAAAGGTTGCCATTGAGTTGTTTTGCAAATACATTGAATTGTTGCCATCTTTGGCGGATTCGTTACCTAAAGACATTAATCTGCAATTAAATATAAGAATATTTAGATTAAATTAAAATGAATTGTAGTCAAACTTATATTTATGCAAATATAAGAATATTCTTAATGGTAAACATCAGCATAAGTAAAGTGTTGCCTATTTTTGATGACAAGTGTTCGGATGAAGTGTTTGATTTTAAGTGAGCATCACTTCATATAGGGATCAGTGTCCGCATGTATGTCACAACGTGACCACAATTAAGTTGTTATCATCAAAGACAGTATATGTAAAGAAAGTCACGTTTTTCTCCACACAAACTATAAATCAATAATAATGAGTATTTTAGTCCTAATGTGTAGTAAACAAGTTATTGATTCTTTAATCTTTCATGTTTAAATAAGTAAAATAGACAATCTTTTTAATACAAAATAAGCAAGAAAATAGTAAGTCTGAATTACTCAAATTTTCTAATACAAATTATAAGCACGGTATAATTTTTCTATGAAAATTCAATTATTTTAATATTATTACAGAATTCAATAAAATTGAAATATTTTATATGCTATCTAACATATAATGTCTATAAATAGTCTAGCAACTATAATGTAATTCATAATTTGCTAAATATAGATATACCGTATTTTACTTATTCATATTAAATATTAATAAAAATAGAATCTTTCACAAATAAGATAATTTTAATTATAAATCAGTTACTAACCAACTACTAATTATAAGGAATGTAGTGACCTCACCATTATACTGTATTATACTGTACAACACATTAACTGATGTCGTAAAGTATATTTTAAAACATGTTAAATATTAATAAATGGATATTGATGTTCAAATTCTCCTTTCATCCAATATAGCGAATAAACTCATTCTGTATTCAAGTAATGAAAGCATAATTTTATTATTAAATATCTTATAATACATTATTAATAAAAACATAAATTAAAAGCCATGACAAAATAAAACGACAGTAAATTGCATCAAAAATACTATTTATAAAACATTTTATTTAAATATGAATAAATGTCTACATGAGAAGGGAAGTCTGTTTCTTTCCAGGCCAGGCCTCCTTGGCGTACTTTTTCTTTTTGGGTTCGTTTACATTACTTTCAAACAGTTCCAGAGGTCCGATCACTGGCTGGTCAATAAACACCTCCTCTATAGGCCTATTGAGGTCCACATCGGGCGCCGGATTCGGCAAATGAATGCCCAGTTTAGCAGACAATGAGCTCGAAAACAATGGATTTGAATGCGATTTATGTGACGACAGATCTGATGATGAGATGCGATCGGAGCGAGAGGTCGACACAATAGCCGTCTTGTCGTAGTGTATCATTGAATGCGACGATTCCGTGCGAACCCTCTTGTGTGGGATGACTGATGACTGGACAAGATTTCTGAAGCGCCCGACAGAGGGGTCGATGTCCTCCGGATTTATCACATCTTCCTCCTCATTGAAGCGAACATTTTCTTTGCGTTTTCGCGAGACTTTCACCTCTTTATCGGGTATTCCTAATGTACTGATCCTCCGATTCTGAGCCGTATTATATTCGGTGAGATTCTGAATATAATCACAAATATAACCATCAAATAAATGCAAAAAGTGTTGCCAATAGTCTCATAACTCACATCGAGTTCTGTTTCAGTTTCTGGGAGACCAAGAAGACCGGAATCAATCTCTTCAGGGTTGGCATCGATAGTCGAGTTCTTTTGGTTGGGTTTCTCTCTGAGGATATAGACCCGGGTGGAGGCGCCGAAGTGGAACTGACTGTCAATCGGCAATTGTGTCGGTTTATTGGCCTCTATTCGTATGCTCCCGATGTATGAGCCGTGAGCTGACAAACAAAAGACAATGAAATTCATTAATAATATAATCAATTGAATGGTAATATCTTGAAGTACTGACTGCTGCCTAAGTCGACCAGAAAAGCCCTGTCGAGGTGTTTGTGGTAGACGAGGGCCGCGTGCACTCGGGAACAGGAGGCGTGATCTATGCAGAAGTCGGTGAGCGTCGGGTTCCGACCGAATAGGTAGCACTTCTTCTCGTCAATCATCAGTTTCTGTAAAATATGGCCAAAGTTTGTATGAAAAGGTAATATCATTTGACTTATGCTCGCAAATCAAATGCTAATCTAAGCTCTCATTTAATGAGCAATTCATTGATAAATAAATTGCCATTAAATATGATTTTGTGGCACTTTTTGTGGACTATTTATCCCATTATAGAGCATATCGTATATGAAAAACAATTGGGAAAATAAGTCATCTGTTCAGTGCATTTGCCAATAAATCAATTGGATTTATGTAAAAAATAAAATAATGACAAAAAAGTGACAATTACTTGAAAAAGTTTGCCCTCTTTTAATACATCTAAATGTAGTCCATTTCCAAATTTGCCAGCCCTTGACAGACAAACACAGCATTAATACAAATGTCAAAAATAGTCAATTTAAAGTTCAATGAAATTACTTGAAAAAGTTTGCCCTCTTTTAATACATCTAAATGTAGTCCATTTCCAAATTTGCCAGCCCTTGACAGACAAACACAGCATTAATACAAATGTCAAAAATAGTCAATTTAAAGTTCAATGAAAACGTATGAATGAGTGATCATATAAATAGTTTTCAACTTAATTATAATATAGCGTTAAATCTGAAAAAGTTAAAAACTTATTGAAATTAATTTGATAACAAAAACATAAACTAAAACAAAGTGAATAAACAAATGCAAGGATTGTGTGTACAATAAAAGGCAATATTCATGTAAAAAGTGTTGTTTGTGTGCTATTTATCTCAAATAATGTCAAATAAAAAATGAAAACTGAATTAAAGTCCGAGTCATTGAATGTCATGTGTTTATAGAGGGATGAGTTGAACGACTCATGCGATCATTGGTGTGATAATGAGGTGAAGAATTGGGATACCATTTGGGGATATCGTAATGGCTTGAAGTCATTGTAACGGCCACTGCAACCACACCACAGATCAGTCTTTATATTTCGGTGTCAACTGAAAGGCAAAGTCAAAGCCAAATGGGAGACACATATGAAGACATTGAAGACATGTCTTGAATGTAAGCATCGTTTTCACAGTTTGTTTGCATTCATTGACACCAACGACGAGACCAAAGGTGTGTTGTTTTGTTGGGGAAGACGTCTGCGAACTCTTGCGACCAAAGAGTGAAGTATTGCTTCAATTGCTGTCAATCACTGGTGTCTGCAATGACACCATCTGTTTGAGTGAC